CCCAAGTAATAGTTCTCTCACCAGCCCGGCCAAGAATTCAAGCTCTCTAGCATTCCAGGCTGCACGTTTATCAGAAAGACCTTGGCCCACATCTATCTTCAGGGACGAACCAGTAGGATCACAAGCCGGGCAGTGGGGAGACCCCAGTTCCCCCAGTGGGGAATTCAGTGGGCCCCTTTCTCTGGGCTTTTGTTCAGAACAGTGACGTTCTGTGCTACTTAAATCACTTGTGGTCCTAGGTTCCTTTCAAAATGTGTCAAAAGCTGTGGACCTGTTTCCAGGAAAATGCACACAAAATGCAACATCTGGTGTGTCATATTTCAGGGGACATGTGGACCCCTTTAAGTTCCTCTGTCATGCTTCCTGTTGCTTCTCCTCATTGTGGCCTGCAGGACCCTCATGATCTGGCCCATCTACCTTATGATGTCATCTCCTCTCTCCCTCACTGGCCTCCTTAGGTTCCTCAAATGCCCCCAAACTTGTTCCTGCCTCAGGACCTTTGCATTGCTAGTCCCTCTGCCTGGAGCAGTTTTCCTTGTATTGCCCTGTTCCCTCTGACTCTTTTTCATCATTTCTCAGAAGCTTCTCCTGACCACTTGGCCCAATGGTGCCTCTAGTGGTCCATGTCTGACCACTCTGTTGCATCATGATCCTTTTTCTTCATCACTGTTATTACCAATGCCATCTTTATTTGTCGCGGTCCCCACGTCAGAATGTCAGCCCCATGAGGGCAAGGATCCTGTTGGTCTCATTCACTGCTGTGTTTCCAGTGCCTAGGACAGCTCCTGGCATACCCTAGGTGTGTAATACATAGTTGTTGAATGGATATATTGGTTTTTACCGTACCCGGGCACACTGATCGTATTATTTACTTAGTATTTTCCTCTCAATTGTTTTACTCTTTTTACTTCATTTGTTTCAAAAGGAAACTGTTACATCATTGTGACTGCACAAAGGGCATGCTGTGCTCACCGCAAGACAAAAGCCAATCATCAAGAGGCAAAATGGTGGAAAAGAAAGGGCAGTTTATTACAGCTTGCTAGCAAGGGGGAAGATGGCCAACTAACGTCTCAAAGAACCATCTCACAGAACAAAAGACTACAGGCCAGTTATATAGAGTGCTGGTCTCCGAGTGGGGGAGGCATCTGGTCCCAGGGTGGTGGCATCCATCTGATCACTGGGTGGAGGCATCTGGTCCCAGGGTGGTGGCATCCATCTGATCACTGGGTGGAGGCATCTGGTCCCAAGATGGGGGCATCCATCTGGTCTTAGTTCCTGGCAGTCCTTGGTTTTACTTGATATGCATCAGAGACTGGAGCAACGCCCTACACCCTGATCTTTCAGTTCTCGTTGATGATGGCTATCAGCATAGACTCTGCCCGGGGTTCATCACATTCCTAAGGAACTCAAAAGAACAAAGTTATCAACTTATAGCGGCCGGGAGGGGCCACAAAGTCCACAGTTGTCAGAGGTCATCCAAAGTGACAGTATGGTCTCTTCTCCTCTACAATATGGCTTCCTTTGTGTCAACCCTCTATTGAGCCGGTATCATCATCACCAGTATTATTTGTCATGGATAGAAAGTGTTGTGGCTCTCTGAAGGGTCTTGTTAAATTTTATCCTCTTCCTTATTGAGGTTCTGAACCAATTGAGAAATAAAACTAAAGAGTCAGATGGAAGCCAAAATCGCGTTTTGATGAATCTGATAAAGGCTAGGGTTGAGGGCGTGACTTCTTTCTGCGGGCATTTATGCTTCCAGATGCTAAATTCCAGAGTTAAGCTGACTTCCGGCTGAGCCAGGCCCACACCTCTCTCCTCCCCACCCCACAAGAGCATGCCCTCTTAAAACTAGCATTCCCTGAAGGCAGCTCCTCCCCAAAAGAAAGGCAGAGGAAGGATTGGGTTATGCATGCCCAATTTGTCCCTCCAAACCCAGCAGGCATGTATGCTGGGACTCAGCAAACTACAGCCCATGGGCTGAATCTGGCCCTCCATCTGTTTTTGTAAATAAAGTTTTATTGGAACAGAGCCACGCCTATTTGTTTCTGTATTTTCTGTGACTGTTTTTACAACAGCAGGATTGAATAGTTGCGTTAGACACTATCTGGCCCACAAAGCCCACAATATTTACTCTCTGGGCCCTTACAGGAAAGGTTCGCAGACCCTGCCATAAGTCATTCTTCCCCAGCGAGAGGAACAGGAGATAGTGGGGAGAGGCCAGGAGTGTGCCCAGAGCAGAGCTCCCTACAAATGGAAAGAAGCATCAGAAGTATAAATAAGGTCTCTGAGGTTTAGTAGATCTTATTCCTGGACTGCACTTGATCTCTGGGGGCCTTTTCAGCTCTCACAATGTGGTTCTTTTACTGAGGAAAGGAAGGTGCGGGGAGCCAGGTGGAGTTATTTAGATCAGGGTTTCTCAACTCCAGACTATTGACGTTTTGCCCTGGAGAGCTCTCTGTTTTGGGGGCTGCCTGAGCACCGTGGATGGTGAGCAGCATCCCTGGCCTCTACCCACTCGACGCCAGTAGCACCCCCACCCCAAGTTGTGACAACCAAAAGTGTCTGCAGACGTTTCCTGGTCGCTCCTGAGGGGCAAAATCGCCCCCGGCTGAGGGCCAGTGCTTCAGGGGGATGGATGCCGCGGGATGGCTGAACATGCCATGTTCTAGAAAAGAAACTCAGGCCTTCAGCTTGCCTGGTCCTTTCACGCTGCCTCTTACTCCTCCCTGGCTGACCCCCAGCCAGGACGCGCCGTCGCTGTTTCCCTGGCCACCCACCGCCCAGTTACGTTCCGCTCTCTAAACACTGGGTGCTCCTCAGGACGCAGAGCCAGGGCGGCGGATCCCCCGCCCTCCTCCCCAGACCGCCCGGTTCCTGCTGTTTATTCCTGCCCTGCCCTCCGTGCGAAGGGAGGCTCCTCCCGGGGCCTGTCCTGAGACTGCTCGGGGATTCTCCCTTCCTATTTTCACCTCCTCCTGCTGCCCAGATCCTTCCAGAAGGTGTTTCATCAGCTCCTCCCTCAGGAGCACTCGCTTCCTGACTTAATGGAAGTGCTTCCCTCCGCCTGTACCATGGGGATTCGGGAATCCAGCTGTGTGGGTTCTGAGGGGTCTTCCCCTCCTGCGCAGGGCCAGCCACCTGCCAGCTCTCCAGGAAGAGCCCGTAGAGGGCTCCAGCTCCATCGCAGCCTCTCCTGGCCCGGGCCTCTCTTCTCTGGGCCGACAGGCTCTTCATACTTCCTTGAAGGTTCCAGGTGGAGGGGGGCCTATCTTATCTTCTGCTGGCATCACAGCCCAGCCCCAGCCCGCTCCTTCCTCCTCTGTGGCTGTTCACCTCCCCTATCTGTCTCCTCTCATCTTGGGCTCTGAACTGACACTCACTCAACACTCTATTTGTCAGGCACGGCCCCAAGCCCTCTGCTACACCATCTCTCTAAATCTTAACAGCCTCAAACTCTCCGATTCTCACACTCTCGGCGGTGGTTCTAGAATGTCTCAGAGCCCCAGTGTCCTCATCTGAAAGAGAGGGCTGGCAAAGTTTTGCTTTCTCTGGAAAAACTCTCACAGATTTTCCCCATTTCGTAAAAATGGCTTTATAGGTTATAATTACTTAAAATCGTACTTGCTCGTTGGAAAGAAAAAAGAACAAAAAGGATCGTGAAGAAGACCTTGTCTGTTGTTACCTCCTCACCCACGGCGAGTCTTTAGGTGTATCCCCATCCAGATGGATTCGGGGGATTTTTTTTTTTAAGTAGGCTTTGTTGGTGGTGCGTGCCTGTATGCGGAGAAGTGCTCTGCTCCTGAATGTCCGGCTCAGTGGAGTTGCACAAACCAAACCACCTGTTCCAGCAGAAATAGAACAAGGCCGTCACCCGAGAAGCTCCTGCCTCTGTGCCCCCTCCACCCACTCTCCTCCCTAGGTCCAGAGATAGCCACTGCTTTCCTTTCCAACACCATGGATTCATATCGATATGAATTCATAGACGCGTATTTTTGATCTTCATTTAGATGGGATCAGACAATGTGCCTTCTTTCATATCTGGCTTATTTCTCTTAATATTATCAGACTGTGGAGATGTGGCCGTGATATTGAATGTGGCACTGGTTCTTTCCTTCTCCTTTCTACTCGTATTTCATTATACAAATATGCAGCAACGTACTTATCCATCCTTTTGTTGATGGACATCTGATTTGTTTCTAGTTATTTGCTATCATGAATACCGCTGCTCTGAGCATGGTGAACATGTGAATGCAATTCTGTTGAGTAACTACCCAGGATTCGAATCGCTGGGTCAGAAGGTGTGAATATGTTCAAGTTTAGCAGACACTGCCAAACACTTTTCCACAGTGGTTGGACCGGTTTGCATGCCCACCACCGTATGTGAGAGTTCCAGTTGCTCCACATCCCCACCGACGCTTGGTACTGTTCATTTTTTTAATGTTAGCCATTCTGGTCATGGTATGGTAGATAGAACTCAAGGGGTCCATAAACTGGAGTGGGAATAAATTACTCTTATTTTTGTTAACCTACAACTGAAACTTAGCATTTTTGTCAGTTATGAACGTAGGCCGCAAATGACAGCAGGTCAGCAGAATCTGTAACTTTGTCATCCATAGAAATCACTGATATTTAATGGCAAATATTGCAAAGTATTTCCACTCATCACTACTTTGAATTTATCACTCTCTGCAAGGTCTTGCTTTTAATATCTTAATAAAAACAAAAAAAGGACACATTATTATATGGCAGATTCTTTTAATATTTTAATAACTGTATTTCACAGTAATTGATATTCTCTGTAATTCTGTGTATTTTATTTTATTCACGTAAAAACATTTGAGGAGGGGGTCATAGGCCTCGCTTGCTTGCCCAAGGGCTCCGTGGCTCAGAGGGGGGTGTTTTCAGGCCGCGGGCGCACGGTGGTTGGGCGATGACTGGAGGAGGCGTTTGCTCTCTGCGTTCTCACGTTCTCACGTGCCCTCCTGGCCCTTCTCCTCCAGCTTTCTTCGGGAAGTACCTGAACGAGTACAATGGCTCCTACGTGCCGCCCGGCTGGAAGGAGTGGGTCGGCCTCCTTAAGAACTCCCGTTTTTATAACTACACGCTCTGTCGGAACGGGGTGAAGGAGAAGCATGGCTTCGACTACTCCAAGGTGAGTCCTGCCCTTCCCTGGCTCGGGGGGCGGGCGGGGGGCTCAGCAGTTAGGAGCAGGACACGGGAGCCCGGCTGCCTGGGCTCGGATCATGACGGAAATGTGCCGCCTTCAGCACCTTGCTTACATCCTCTGCTTCTCAGTGTCTCCATCTCTCAAATAGTCGTCTCTGTTTCTGAGAATCCTGTTTTTTAACGTTTTGCTGAAGCAGAATATTCTTACAGAAAGTGTGCATATAGAATGCACAGTTCAGTGAATTTTCACAAACTGAAAAGACACATGTGACCAGCACCCAGGTAGGTCAAGCAGAATGTCACCACCCCCCAGAAGGCCCCCCATGTAACTCCTTCCACTAACCACCCCTCCCAAAGGATGGTTATCCCAAAGGATAACCGTTACTCAGACTTCTGGCTTGATAGATTAATTCTGTATCTGGCTTCTTTTGCTTAAACTGTGTTGAGATTCATTGTGTTGTTACATGTGGGTGTAGATGCTTTGATCTTGTATATAATTCATTGTGGATTATACCACAATTTATTTGTTTGTTCCCAATGTCATAATTTTTCGAGCTCTAATTTGTTTAACTGATATAAGGTAAAGTGCACAGATCTTAAGTGGGCAGCTCAGGGAATTTTCAGATATGTGTGCATCTGTTTAAACATCAAGGTACAGAGCATTTCCAGCCTCCAGAAGGCTCCTGCGTACACCTTTCCCCCCCACCCAGAGGCAGCCTCCATTCTGACTTCTGTCACCGTGGATTGGTTTCGCCTGTTCTGAAACTTCACATAAATGGAGTCATGTAGTGTGTGTTCTTGTGTGTCTGACTTTTTTCACTCAGCGTAATGTCTGTGAGAGTCATCCATGTGGTTGTGTGTATCAGCAGTGTGTACTTTTCATTGCTGTGTAGTATTCTCTTCTACAGGTGACAGGTATTTATCCACTCAGTGACTGGTGGACATTTGGGCTGTCTCCATTTTGGGTCTGTTACGAATTAAGCTGTCGTGTACATCCTTACACGTGGCTTTTGGTTATACACCTGGGACATAGGCCGTGTTACATGGTTGAACCAGTGTACACTCCAGCCAGAAACGTATAAGGGTTCCAGTCGCTCCACATTGCTCACCAACACTGGTACTGTCTTCTGTATCATAGCCATTGTGCTGGGGGTGTAGCGGTATTTCATTGTGGTTTTACCACAAAGGTTTTGAGGATCACGCAAGCTGGTACATGTAGAGCATTAGAAGAGCCCCTTGCACATATAAATACCTGATACATATTAGCTCAGAACAGGGCAGCCTACTTCCTCTCTGAAGGGCCAGATACTATGTTTCAGACTTTACAAGCCATACAGTCTCAGTTGCAACTGCTCAGGTCCGTCAGTGTAGTGCAAAAGCCGCCACAGATAAAACGTAAACAAGAAGCATGGCTGTGTGCCAGCAAAACTTTATTTACAAAAGCAGGCAGTGGGCCCATTTGGGCTCACAGGGTGTAGTTTGCTGGCCCCTGACGTAGACAATGATGATGATAAGGAGGAGGAAAGACTGACAGTGATGTTGCATCCGAACTTTCCATTAAAAAAAAAATCTGGAGGGGCCAGCCCGGTGGCATAGTGGTTAAGCTCGCATGCTCCGCTTCGGAAGCCCGGGGTTCACGGGTTTGGATCCCAGACACAGACCTATGCACCGCTTATTAAGCCATGCTGTGGCGGTGTCCCATATACAAAATAGAGGAAGACTGGCAACAGATGTTAGCTCAGGGCCAATCATCCTCACCAAAAAAAAAAATCTGGGGCCTGCCCGGTGGTGTAGTGGTTAAGTTCATGTGCTGCACTTCAGTGACCCAGGGTTCGCAGGTTCGAATCCAGGGCATGGACTGATGCACCGCTCATCAAGCCATGCTGTGGTGGCGTCCCACATGCAAAATAGAGGAAGATGGGCAAGATGTTAGCTCAGGGCCAATCTTCCTCAGCAAAAAAAAAAAATCTGGAGACTAACAAATATTCCTGCGCCAACTACATCTTCAGAGTCAGCTCTGGCATCCCCCACAGCTGATACAGTCTTTCTCTGGATCGTCCAATCCATCCCTCTCTCTTCCCCACTCCCACTGCCACTCGCCGTGGGCCTGGCTTCCTGTCATAACCAGGGTTCTCTGGGTTGCTGTGATGATCCAGGGCTGTCCTCTCCAGTTTGTCTCTCTCTGAATTGCTACACAAGGCCTCTCGGCAGAGATCACCAGGAGACAGGCAGCCATGCAAACAGGAGAGCAAGCTGGGAGTAGGTGAGACAGTAGGGAGTGGTGGGGGCTATGGAGAATGTAGCTGTCTAAAAGAGGGCAGCAGACCCTCAGATCAGGCCTGTTGGTCCCATATGGAAATGTGGGCCCAGGATGGCCAGGTTTTCTGATTTTTCAACAGAAGCCACACATTTGTACATTTTTCCTGTGAAATCTCCTGATTTTTAAATATTGGTAATTAATTCAGACTTTTCTAAAATCCTGCGTGAATCAAGTTTGCCTGAGGGCCAGACCTGACCCACGGGTCTGCAGCCTTCGCAGCCCATTGCACTGTTCTGCCCGCTGCCCTCCAGGGACTATGAGTTGCACTCTTGCAGTCAGTGGTCTCAGGTGGAATTTGACTACGTTATTCACTCATTCCCTCAACGAGTATTGATTCAGAGTCCGCTTTGTGCCAGGTGCTAGGCATCCAAGGGGGAACAAAAATAGACCCAGGTACCATCCTCACAGAGCTCAGTCTGGCGCACGGAGGTGTGTTATAAACTGTGAAGACATGGTGCGTGTATTCAAGTCAGAACGCTGCTCCACGGTGTAAAAACACAGGTATGTGTGTGCACACACACCAGCCCCGTCTCCTCTATTTTGTCATCCCCAGTATGAGCCATTTCAGCCAGACCAGCCTTGTGGGTTATTAGAACCATCACAAAATCTTTACTAGTGCTGTCCTGCCCTGAACTTGTCCAAGTCTTACCCATTTCCTCTTCCATGACGCCTTCCCGGAGTGCCTTCAACGACATGATTTATCCTTTCTTGAACCGGACTGGCCTCTTTCAGTTGTTTGTGAACAGAAACTCAACTCAAAGTGGCTCAGTTGAAGAGGAAACATAGTAGCCTACTTAACCGACCCAGCAGCAATGGCATCAGACGTGGCTGGACCCAGGGGCTCCAATGAAATCTTCAGGCGGTTTCTCTCTTCTCTAAGCTCTGTTTTCCTCTCTTTGGCCCCATTCACAGGCTGTCTCTCTGTCTCTCTGTCTGTCTCTCTCTCCTGTCTCTGTCTTTCTCTCTCTCCCCCTCTCTCTGTCTCTCTCTCCTGTCTCTCTCTCTGTCTCTCTCATCTCGTAGCAGTATGGCCGTCCTGCACGGCTACAAGCCTGCGACTCTCCTTCCCGGGATTCCCAGCGAGTCTCATTGCCTCTCAGTGGCTCTGGAGCAGTCACGTGTCTATCCCTGAACCAATCAGTGTGGCCAGGGCGTGCAGTCTTTTGATGGGCTCTACTCCTGAGCCAGAGGTGGCGGAGCAGGAGCCCCTCCCTGGAGCCAGACCCTGGAACGTGGGCTGAGAATAGAGCCCCAAATAACAACGGGGAGTGTCCACGGGAAGAAAGCTGACTAGATGCTCAACAGCCTAAAAATACCCTCTCCTGCTCCCCTTCTGGAAACCCTAGTACGTTTGGGGATCCCCCCTATCTTTGCCAGGTAATCACCACTGATGTGTGGCTGAGTCTGATCAGTCCAGGTGCCCAGGGGGCAGAAACCACGTGACATCACGTGGGCAGCACCTCTCCCCCTACCCCGTACCTCACTCTGCACATAGTCGGCCTCCAGGGGCTCCCATGTAAACTAGTTCCAAAGTCCTGGTGGGGGGATTTAGCAAACCTGGTGGGCTCCTTGCAAATATAAATTATAGTTTCTTGGGGCCGAACATGCCGTCTCTCTCCTCCCAGCCTCAGCAAGGCAGATTCTCCGATACCTAGGAAAGTCTACTCCCTCCTTGTTGAAATTCCTCACGTGTCCCCGCCTGGTCTCAGGGCCGCCCGATAACAAAGTTATCCAGGGGTACCAAAGTCCCCTCGGGGCTGAGGAGGGGGAGGTGGCGCCGCTGCTGTTCTGCCCCGCTTCCTCCACATGCACATCTCCCCCTGTGACAGAGGTGGTAGGATTCCTGGGCCCCCCGTTACCGGAGGGATGGGGGGATGGGGGGCCCGTTGGGAGTCAGAGCTGGCTCAGGTCCAGAGTTCAAGTCCCAGGGGAGCAGCGGGCAGTGGGAGCCAGAGCATCTGGGGAGCAGGAGTGGGCTCGGGGTTTCCAGCCGAGGCAGAGCCGGGACCCCATGCTCTGGGCCCCGCAGTCTGGAGGCAAGGTGCCTCTTTCGGAGCAGAGCTTCGTCCCTGGCCTCAGGGGCCTCGGTGGAGGCCCGGGTTGGGAGGAAGTGGTGGCCCTTCCCAAGCCCTCCTCAAAAGGCCCTCCGAGGACTCTGTCCCTGGTCACTAATCCCAGAGATGGGCAGATGCCACGAAAGGGGTCCTGATGGCAGGGTGGATGGAGAGGCAGTGATCAAGCAGAGAACGACATAGAGCAAGCACTGATAGCCACAGAGGGTCAGCGGAGGTAGGACAGGTGGCAGAAGGGAGAGAGGAATGACGTAGGGTCGAGTCGCGGGAAGAGGCTTCCAGCTGGGGAGGCAGAAGAGGACCCAGGTGGTGGGCAAGCTCTGAGGGACAGCAGTCTCTGTGAACTTGAATGCGCCCAGTCTTTGGCCCTTTCTCTCCGTTGGTTCTGGAGAAGCCTCCCTCTCTGCAGGAGGGGGCATGGCTGAGCTGTTGGTTGCAGCTTTGTTTGTTATTGAAAGAGATGCACCAATGCAGGAAATGACTAAATGACCATGAAGCATCCCTACTCTGGAGGATTCTGGAGAAAGACCAGGGGGCTCTGTGTGTAAAGCCATCAGAAGGTCTCGGGCCATAAGGCTGAGCAGAGAGAGCAGG